GCAAATGGGTTCGACTGATTAAAGCTAAGCCTTGCTGCTTTTCATTTGTTTTCGTCTCTTTTTTGTTTGTTTGCATGTTTTCTCTGTTGCTGCGCATTTGCACCTGTCGGCCACCGTACTTGAAGGTACTGCGTACCCCCGCTAAATCTTTTAGGGGTACGCAGTACCCTACCCCCCATACTTTCACCCCTGCTAAGAAGTGAAATTAGTCACTGGAAATAGAGAGTTTTTCAGCAATGGGCATGGCAACTTAGGGGGAAAAATAAAATGTCTTATTTTAATAGGCTTTTATTTTGAAATTATACATCAGATGTGGTTGACATTTGGTGTTTGTGTACTAGAGGTGTCCCTCTGTCACCCAGAAGTGAGAGCAGTCACTGGAAACAGAGTTTTCAAGTAATAAGCAAGGCAACTTAGGGGAAAAAAAGTAAAAATGTGCTTTTTAAATAGGCTTTTATTTTGAAATTATACATCAGAACTTGTTAACGTTTGCTGGTTGTGTTCCAGAGGTGTCCCTTTGTCACTGAGAAGTGAGAGAAGTCACTGGAAACAGAGTTTTTCAACATTGCATAATGTCCCCAATTATTTCTGATACATTATTTCTTTTTTTAACTGCAGCGGCTGGATCAAACATGGACCGGATATGCGCTTTTATTGTGAAAGCAGCACGTAAATAGGTGTACCATAATGTCTTGACCTATCGCAGTTGCTAACTGCGGTGTTTTCAGAGAAGCATTCTGATATTTTTCGAATACACTCCACGTTAACAAACCGGAGTTTTCCCCTGTCCTTCAGTTAGAATTCCTTTTGTGAAAAGGGGAAATGAATGGATTTTCTGAGTTAAAACCTGCAGGAAAAGTAAGTTTACACACACACGCACCGACTGTCTGCTTCCGTGCGTGTTGCGCAGGGTATTATGGTAATGGTGCAACCCACCGTTCTGGACCCCTCCCCCCTCAATACAGCAGCTGTTCATCCAAGGTGGGACAGTTAGTCTGCAGACTGTTCTCCCGTGGCTGTGACGAACCAACGACACAACTGACAGGTATACACAGATGGACATTAGAACAAGTTTTTGCACTGCGTTGCAGGATTCACCTGGTATAGCTCACTGTTAGGAGTGACTACCCATGCTAATAACTGCTAGCTCGGCAGTGGTATCAGCAGCTACATTAGCCACCGGACATAGGTTGAGCTTCCTCTTGCAACCTTGACTGTAACATGACGCTTTCCACGTAAAGCTCGGTGACACCTTATAAGGGTAGACAGGTTGAGGCTCAGCATATCAGAACTATTACCATTTTCGCCGTATAAAGTTACTTATTAGTGTTATGTTGCTAGTTTGCGGAAATGCCCAGTGCTACCGGTCAAACGCCAGCACAGAATTTAGCTTAATCTTTCTGTACCTTTTGGTGAAATTCTAAACGAACAGCACCGCCCACTGCTGATGATGCATGGCTAAGAACAAACAAAACACAAACTAACCTCGCGTTAATTGAACTTGTTTTAAATAAATAAGGTGCAGTTGAGCCCACTTGTTTCGAATCATTCGGTAGACAGACCAAATTAAATGAAGAATTTAAAGTATGCTTTAAAATGCTTCTGACTACATTTATATGGAGTCCGGGGTGCAGCCATAAAGGGGCATTCATGTTGAAACAGGTATTGCAGCAAAATCTGTGACCCATAATTTTCTGTGACAGCAGGGGGCGATAGCTTGCGTGAAGATCAACGTTTTTGAAGAATATTTACTCAAACTGCGTAAATACCGATACAGCTGGGATTGTAAACTTCAGGGCTGTCGGAGAAAATATAATGTATTATTTTGTATTTGAGGCTGAACATTGTTTGATGGACAATTATGTGCTGTCGATAAAATATGTAAACCAACTGCGGCCGTTTAATAAATCGGTAAATGATTAAGAAATTATTCTAAGAGCTCTGGTAGTTTTCTGGTAGCTAAAATCACATTGGTCACAAATTATCATGGGCAGAATAATCTGTGACCTGACTGCACAGGCCTTTAAATAATATGATTTTAGCTATTTGAGGGTTCAATATTGTTATAAATACGCTCAGATTGTAGCGAAGAGATGGTAGAACTCTGAAAAACAGTTGTTTTAAACTTTGACATTATTTACAGGATTGCTGTAACACTGGCATGCTGGTCACTTTATATCAGTATGAACCTGGTATGTGTTTAAAGACCTGAGCAGTGTTGAGAGCTTTATAAATAGATAAGACCAGAGTTCTTGACCTTCTCCCGATCACAGCAGGCTCCACAGGGGGTAAAGTGGAGGCTCCAGCTGGGTTCAGTGACTCGGGATGCATTAACCTGCTTTGATTGTTACATAACTGGACCCAGATTGTGGGAGAATTTTTCTGCCAAAATTCAAGAGCACATATTTTCAGTCTAAAACTTTGAATACTTGTGCTTACATTTTTATTTTGAAGCAGGACTTCATGTCTTTCTTCTCAAAACTTGTAATGTTCGTATTCAAAACTTCTCCTCGCGCTCAGAAATAGTCTGTGCTTGGGGCAAATCTTCACTTGCAATTTAACTCTCTGCTCACTTGGGGATTATTTTTCTGCCATAATCCAAGAGCACACATTTTCAATCTGAAAGCAGGATTTAAGGTCTTTTGTTCTCAAACCTTTTAATACTTGTGCTTATTTTTATTTTGAAAGCAGGGCTTCATGTCTTTCTTCTCAAAACTTGTAATGCTTGTACTCAAAACTTGCATACATGTGGTGAGGTTCATAGTTAGTGAGGCACTGACTTAATCAGATCTAGAAATATAGACACCTTGCATCTTATTGTTTACCTACGGAAATTTTCGCATGCGTACAACGCTGGAGGGCAAAAAGACTATTCTTTTACATGTCATCCACAGCTGCGTTAACGTAATGAAACTTTGAAATATAGATATTAAGTTTGTGCTATGCTCCACAGCAAAAGGAAAAAACCGAAGTACAACTCGAAAAAACTTCTTTTTCGCTCTTTGTGTCAGCCAATATACAGACTCGTTGCCATTGCAACTGACAACAATGCCACAGGGTTTCCCCCAGAAAACTTGCTAAGCCCGGTGGTCAGGGCGTCGAGTCGGTCCACCGGTGGTCCATCAGCGGTCCACCATGTCTTTGTATTAAAATATGTTAAGTTGACAGGAAATGTAAAAGTATTACTGTGTAATTATATGTTATGGGAAAAGATCTCGAGTGAAATGCTATTTAAACCCACAACTAGTCTAAAAACAACAAATTTGCACTTCTGTTTAATCCAAATTAAGTCAGCAGCTCCATCAGGCCCCCAAGAGCTTCAGGGGCCCCATAAACACTAATATTTCA